GAGTTTCTCCTTCACCATAAACCCAAAGTATCCATTAGGTGCTTAATTAGTCATGACTGTATGGCACTCTCTACAGGCCTTGCCCTTGGAAACTTGTGAGATGGCTGACACATACAGGGAGCCACAACCAAGGCATTCTCCCTGGATTCCATGTGCTACTCCTCCACAAAGGAGAAATCTGCTGGAAGGTGACTCTACAATTTATAAGGTTCCTGGGTATTCATGAAATAACTAGAGAGGTATAGAAACAAACATAATGAGCAGCTGCTAAGTTCCTATCACTGACTTTTTTCCTTTTACGTATGTTAGTTTATTTAATTCTAGCAATACTCACTGACAGTCAGCCATTGCCATACCCATTTTACAGATGAAACCTGCACAGAGCCTGGGACAATCCAGAGTCACGCATCAAGAATATGGAAGAACCAAGGCTGGAACCCATCTTGGTTCCATCTCATGGTCATAGAAGTGCCTACTCCTTTGTCTGTCTCCCCAACAAGAGTTGGGAGCTCCCTGTGCGTGGGTCCCATGTATTTCTTATTTGTACCACTGAGCACCTAGCACAGTGGCAAACACCTGTCACTACGTGCATGTTTATAACATTAATTCATTAAGCCTTCCAGACTTCTCCTCTTGCTATGTCTATTATACCATCATACAATTAGCCTTGCTACTTCATCTTCGAATTTTTCTAAAAATTCTCATTCTTCAGACAGAAAATCAATAACAAATAACAAAGATGTAGTTTATTACAATTTCTCAACTTACACGGTGACACCAGTCATTTGGCCCTGAGGGATTTAATAGTTGGCTAACTAGCCTCAGCACTGTCTGCTTGCATGAGATTGGCTCACTCGGGCCAGCCAAGCAAGAGCCCCCATTCATGATTCCTAAAAAGTCATTACCCTTCTGAAAGCCATTACAGTTTAAGATGATTTAAATATACCCATCTCATCGTTTTTAACCATGCCCACAAAAAGCATCCTAAAGATATTTGATTATTCAATTAGACTAAATGAGGCCAATGTATATGCTGCTGCCTCCGAGGTTATCATGCTTAATAAAACATACTTTAAAAACCCCATGAAAGCTGTAATTAAATTTACAAGCAGCTTTCCACTCAACTCTAAAAA